ACAAGCCAAAGCTCAGAGAGTTGGATGCCCGAGGACGTCGAGAGGCCCTAATCGCCCAGGATCGAGGCGACGATCCATTCGACGCGAAATGGCGCCTTCGACCCGGCCAAAATCAACACGAACTCATCAAGCTGATTGGGCAAATATCCTTTGGCGTGTATCTCCTGCTCAATGGCATGGCCAACAGCAATGCTCAAGTCGTCAATATTCTGCAAGGTCATATTGACGAAGTCGATGAGTTTTTAGAAGTTGCACTCGAGGACCTCGGGCAGGCAATCGATGATTTGAATGAGCGCATAGAACACTTGAAACTCCCACTGGCCAATGTTCAGGTGTTTGAAGAGCTCCTCGAAGATCGAAACTTCCGTCTTGAGATTATCGACGGCAATGAAAAAATTGACCACGTGCTTTCCAGAACGAATGCGGCCCTGAAGCAGTGGGATGAGGATATCGAGGCTGGATTGCAATCAACCGCCGCATTTACTAGCTGGCTTCACGACGAAGAAGATGCAACCTGGAGAATGGAGCGTCCTGACGTGGCCGATATATTCGACGCCATGAAGGGCAATACGGAGGGTTGGTTAAGTGCCTTTGACGACATGAGTGATCGTGTACAAGAAGCTAGTAATGTCATTGTGCGACTCTCAACCATTATCAGCGAGATGGAGAAGAAGGCCGGAGAAGTCAGTCGTAGGACTTGGGTAAGTTTGCCGCAAAAAGAACTCGCAGAAACGAGGCGCTACTGCTAACGGTGGTCTTCAGGCAAATATCCAGCCCTTTTCCGCTCCCTCTTCTAGTTCTCAAGCACTAAACGACACAACCAAGTCTGTATCTTCATCAAGGCAGTCCCGCAACCTACCACTGCGGCAACACCAGCATCAGTCCAGTGTTCAGAGTGTTGCGACCTCGACGAGAAGCGCGAGCACCATTGGTCTTGACTTGGGGGAAGAATTCCCTCTTCCCGGCGGACTCCCCCTACTTCCTCCTCATCGCTCCCCTCTCCGCCGCACTCCTGGCGATCATTCTCGTACGCAGACACCTACACAATCTGCTCCTCAGTCAAAGGCTGCGAGCAAACGAGCGGATGAACCCAGCCCAAGCCCATCGGCGAGCGAGGAACCACTGTATGTACTCCAGCCTCGCACATATACCCCCCAACCCCAGGAACCTTCACCATCCCCTGCATTAAAGCCAGCCGGGACCTCTTCACCGAAACCTCAAGACCCAACACAATCCCAAGACAATGCGCTTGGTATCGATGGCCAGGGGGCTCCACAGGCCAGGTCCTCCATTGTTCCCCAAGTATCCCAAAAGACCAACTCCCCAGACACGATGCAGATTCCGCCGAGGCCTGTCCGGCCGCCATCGCCTGGCCTTGGAACACCTCGAACTACCCATTCGAACCCCTTGGATTCAGCGTACGGCTCGGACTCAGAATCCATCACCCAACGGGCGGCATCGCGGGCTGGCTCAGACGTTGGAAGATCTCCAGCTCGGCCACACATTACGCACTCGCCTCGATCAGACCACCAGCAGTACTATCGTCCCGTGCGTGCATCACCACACTCAGCACTGCAGCAGCGGCCTCACACTTCTGTCGGGTCTCGTGGGTCTTACATGCATCTGCGCAGTCAGCCATCCGCTATCGGTGGCATGAGCACTCTGAGCAACGTAACAAATGCAGTATATGATGATGATGACAGAACCCAGTCCTCGGGCTCAAACACGACAGGACCAACGCTCCGGAAGAAGAAGAGTGCTTTTGGCTGGTTTAAGAAGGCATTCAGCTTAGATGAAGAGGAGAGGGCGGCATTTGAAGCACGCAAGGCAACGGAATATCGGGATCGCTATTATGATCCCAACAGTCCCAAATTTATTGATGGGCGAAGGATAAGGTAGCTCGACTGTCTTATCTAGATACGCCTGCACAAATCTACCTCACGGGCGAGGTCTCGACTGCTTTCCATTCATTTTTTTTTAACTCGCAAACCACGACATATTTATTGGATACATTTAGCGAACTCGCAGAAAGCGACTTGACGATACCATCTAGCAGCTCATACTACGGACATGATGTTGATAAGCTTCGAAATGGAGCTATTGGCCGGCCATGTCTCATTTACAGTTTTTTTTTCCTTAGCTTGGTTTCCTAACAAGACGGCATTTTTGGGATATCATTTACATATATATACGACAGGTGGGATTGGGCGGTAAAAATGCGCTTGCTTCCTGCGGTTTGGAATATATAATTGGGAATTTCAATTCAGTGTATAAACTTATGCCAAGACAATACCAGGCCTTGCCTCTCCTTTTTATTTAAAATTTCTTACAGTCCGGCATATAATATTTCATCACTAAATGGCAATTAAATATAACATGGCTCAACTGTACTCACATCTTGGCTCCTCCATGTCCCTTGATCCGCCCGCTCCCCCCGGCCGCGGCCGGTGGCACGTCACTCGCCCACGCCGTAACTGCGCACTCGGCTAAAGAAGAATGCTTTATCGTGCTTGAGCGTAAACTCGGCCCAGTCGTCCGTCAGTCTATTGTAGCTAAAGAAGCTCCTCCACACGAGCTTATTATTCCGCGCGGCCTTGCCGGCCGTGCGAAGCGACAGGTCCATCCTGAACATGTACTTGGGGTCGACGCCCTCGGTCTCGACCGTCACGTCGCCCTCGCGCAGCTGCTCGTCGTCCTCCTCGGCGCGGGGGGGACCGGCCTGCTCGGCGTCCGTGTCGCCCCCCGCGCCGGGGGACAGCCGCCACCGGCCCTTGTAGGCGCGCTGCATGGCCGCCGACGGCAGGTGCGCGTGGGCGTTGTCGCTGTCCCGGTGCAGGCGCAGCAGGTCCCCGGTCAGGTGGTGCACGACGTGGGTGGGCTCCAGCGTCGTCAGGAGGCTGATGGCGGTGCCGTTGCGGAAGAAGCGCAGGTACCGGTAGCACGTGACGATGTGAATCGGCGCGCCGCCCCAGGTGGCCTGGTTGGTGGACGCCTGCCCCGAGCGCACGTAGTTGACGGTGCTGATGTAGCACCCGTTGAAGCGGATCCGGGGCCGGCCGCGGAACATGGCCCTCCAGGAGGCGTAGGGGACGGGCACGAGGGACGCCGTGGCGGCTGCGTCCTCGGTCGTCCTGCCGGCGGGCCCGTCGTCCTCGTCGAGGGCTTCCCATTCCACCGTCTTGCTCCAGCGGCGGTGCATCGCTGCGAAGCCGAACCGCGCGCCGAGGCAGACGTGGCGCCATGTGCGCTCCTCGGTGGCGACTAGGTACGCGAGGGGTTTGCAGACGAGCGAGAGGCGCGCAAAGTCGCCTACGTCGAGGGCCGCCACGTCCTGCATGATGTGGACGAGGAGCTCGCTGGGGAGGCAGGAGAGGGGGCACGGCGCGGGTGGTGTGCCGTCTGTTTCGGGGGGCGCTGCTTCGATTTGGAGGCCGGCAAAGCTGGCGATGAGGTCTTTGATGGGGAGTACGACGGGTGCGTCGCCTCCTGCGGGCGTGGCGTCTGTTGATGTGATTTGCGTTGATGACGCTGTGGGTGCGCTTTGAGGTTGTTTATGCTGTGGGAAGTGCTTCTCGCGGTAGCGGCGATGCACGCCGTGGTCCATCTATATTCGTCAGAGCCATGTACTGCGATGCGCAATGATTTTCTCTTTCTTGGACTTACTCTGTAAGCTTTCCGGTATAGTTTCAGACTATCGCCCATGTTGCCTAGGGCTTCCTTCTCCATGGCCTCCTCGTAGTGATCCAGCGCCGAAACGAGCTCCCTCTGAGGCGGCATACGGACCGACCCATCAATGGTGTTGCCCGAGGGTTCAGGGCCATCGTCGAAGGATCGGCCATGGAGGTACTCGTCTTCCTCTTCAGCTGCCAGAGGTGCCTTTCTACTCTTTGCAGGCGAGGGCCGGCGCGCCATGGACTTCCTTGGAGGAGGGGGAGCAGTCGAGGCTGATGGGACAGAGTTGCGTGGTTGGGGTTGAGTGCTTTGCTCGCCCTTCTTGGTGCGCACTTCGGACAGCCATTGCTGTCTAAAGGACTCGAGCTCTGGGCCCAGCTCGTTTGATTCTTCCATGTTGTCTGTGAGATGGTGTGGCAGGTGTCGACTTGGACGTTTGGCTCCAAAGTCCGGTAGGGCCGAGTGAGGGAGACTTGAGTTATCGCAGTGTGAATGTGATACGGAGGAGAAAAATTGGGAGGGCTGAGGGATCAATGGTCTTGGGGACTAGGAGTATCGGAGTACTTTTCTGAGGCGGGCCATGATGTAGGCTCCTGTCCCTAGATTATTTGATGTTTTGATGAGGTTGAGTTGCGGTGATGCAATGTATTAGTTCTGCTCCGTGATGACTACACTCGGTCATGGCCGCTTCCTGATTGGGTGAGCGCTTGTGCTTACCACAGCGGGCTGGTGGCCGAATTGCCAACGGTTGACTATACACTCACTGGGTGCTAGCAATACAGGGCAGACGGATGAGGCACGGATAGTTGGTGGCTGGATGGCCATTTTGGTTGCCCGAAACAAGGACAAAATGTTTAATGTATATTGCATTGTTGGTCTGGTACTGGGTTTGCACTGAGAGATCTGATGACTAAACTCAGCTGGGGTTCATGGGCATCGGCCCGAAATATCCCTCTTGTACAATTCTGTTAGATAACTACGCAGGTAGTTATAAAACCCTCGTCATGCCTTTGTTAGTGTTCACCTTGGGCACAGCATGTGCACTGATAAAAAGGCATTCGGGTGCTGTGCGCGTTTTGCGTAGTGCTGGGTAGTCAAGTGGATGTACGGAGTACCAATGTCATAACATCTATTTTGATTACCGATCCCAAAACGCCAAGTAGAAAGTATGCTCCGCGGCAGGCCACGACAAGTCAAACGAGGCGCGGTAGATGCCCTAAACACGCCAGATCCCGTGGTTTGTACAGATGCCCAAATACCACACACCTGAGCCGAGCCGAGCAGCGACAACGCAAATTTCACCAACCTTCACACTGCCCCCCTAGTATTTAATCCATATCCATCTCATTGTCCCCGTCACCCTCAACACCGCCGTCAACCCGTACCCTGAGCCTCTTCTTCTCACCGCCAAACAACTTTTTGTCGTGCTTGGCGCTTTGCAAGTGCTCGGCAGCCAACTCCTCCACATCGAGATCCTGCTCGGCAGCCAGTTCCTCGAGACGACGTTTCTCGCTGCCGCGCATCCGGGGCAGCAGGTGTTCGTTCTTGGCGACCAGCTCTCGGGCGGCGGTGAGTTCGCGCTCGCGCTTGCCAGCCATGCGCTTCCTGTAGAAGACACGTTCGCGACGGGCACGAATCTCGCTGATGCGCTGCATGGCTCCCAACGTCTTCTGGACGAGGTCGCGGTTGTAGCGGACGGGTTCGTTGCGGCGGGCGCCGAAGAGGAGGGTGCTGTCGACAACCATTTCCTTGCCGGCGTTCTTGCGGTAGGCCTTTGTCCACTTGAGCTTGCGGGGGTTACGCTTCATCTTGAAGTTTTTGTGGCATTTTGACCTTGGGTTTTGTTAAAAAGGAAAAAAAAGGCGTGACTCGGCGCACTGGGGTAAGGGTACTCACCTGCAGAAGCGAAATGCTTTGGCTGGAGGGGATTCGAGCGTTAGCGAAGACGGGCGTATTTTGCCCTCGTGCAAAAGAGGGCTGGAAGGCAAAACGTACAGTCACTTCTTATAAATGTTATCCCCTTGCTGGGATAGCTAGGTCTGCCGCAGAAATAACAAGGCTCAATACTGTGCGTGGGTTAGAATCGAGTCCAATTCATCTGCGTTTCATGAGAGCAGAAGCGAGCCTTACCGCATCGTGAAGGATTTTGGATAGAATGCAGGCCTGTATGTTGGTGTTGACCACTGGCAATCTTTCTTTTGCCTGGCAGCCTTCCAGTTGAAGACCACACTTCCTGGATCGTTTGCGACGAAGACCTTTACCTCGAGATGGCCGAGGCTCGCTACAACGATCGCAATGAGGCACGTATCGGTCAAACTCGAGTTATCAAATAACTTTTTTTATTTTTGGCTTAGTCAGGATCTAGGGCCCCGCCTCCGATTTTTTGCTGAGATAATCTTATCGATACGTCCAGGTCCTCAATGTTGCCTTGTGGGGAATGGAGTCATCGATTCCATAGGTCGGCCAATCATGACTAGCCGTCACACAGCGGCAACCTGCGGCATGTGCCATGAACTGCCCTGTGAACGTCAGCCAAACGAGCTCGACCCGATTTTTTGCTCCGGCTACGGGGGGCAAATCCCCCAAATTCTGGTCTCCTGTGGAAGCCGTCTCGGAGTTGTTGGCTGTTACGTACTTGACTTCAATCGTCTATGATCTCCATTCCCCCTCACCCAACTTCTGACCCCATTTTCATATTTTCACTCTTCTTCTGACAGAGAGGGCTATCTTTTTAATTATTGCTGTTTGCAAGGAACTGGCTCTGCTCTAATTGCCGAGCCTGTGACCTCTGCAGCAGCGCTCGATTTTCTCCGAGATTACCGGGCGATAGCCCGAGAGCCCACCATGACTTCAATCACGACCTTCAATTCTGGCAGCCAAAATTACGACAGACTGCTCGAGGCGGACAGTATGAACACGCAGACCCGAGGCTCCGGTGTAGGCTCGCCGAACGGCGGCGATGGCCTGGGTCCTGTCCCAGACATCACCGCGCCGCAGAAGATGATCTCAGCCATGTCCGGGAGCTTACTCACGTCACTGCTTGGTGAGTCCGAGAGTTACGCCAGCACAGTCTGTTGATTCCCGCATGCTAACTATCAAACAGTTACCCCACTAGATGTTGTTCGAGTTCGCCTGCAATCACAACGGACGCCAACTTCAGCAGTCGATTTTTCAAAACTCGCCCTACGGACGACCACCCTCACGCCTGCACAGACCGCGGAGCTCGGAGTTACGGCATGCTGTCGCGAAGTCTTTTTTCAAGGCAATTCTGCAGAGCTTTGCATCGCTGTTCCGAGAGGCGAAGGGATTATTGAATCAGCTACCTCGTCAGTAGCTTCTGGTGCCGACTGCGCTGTTCACGAGGTGCAAAAGAAGACGTATAACTCCACCTTTGATGGCCTGCGGAAGATTGCCCGTAACGAAGGCTTCACGACACTCTGGAGGGGGCTATCACCGACGTTGCTCATGACCATTCCCGCCAACATAATTTACTTTACCGGCTATGACTGGCTTCGATACAACCCAGTCAGCCCACTTTCTCGGCTTTCCAGCGACAACGCACCTCTGGTTGCAGGATCAACAGCCCGTATTCTTGCTGCCACGGCTGTTGGGCCCATCGAGCTATTTCGAACGCGAATGCAAGCTGCCCATGGAACATCAACGACGAATCACTTGGTGGAAACGTTCCAGGGTGTGCGGGACATGGTGGCTACGCACGGCTATGTGTCTCTATGGAGAGGACTGACCTTGACACTTTGGCGAGACGTTCCCTTCTCCGCCCTTTACTGGTGGGGTTATGAAACTATTCGCTCTCGGTTGACAGATATGCGGGAGGACAGCCAGGGGCGACCATTTAACCGAGCAGAATCCCTTCAGAGCGCCCGACGGCGCTGCCAGAGCCAGGAGAATCACATGGAGACGTTTGTTGACTCTTTCACAGCTGGGGCTCTGTCCGGGACCTTGGCTTCGATTGTAACAACACCGTTTGATGTCGGAAAGACACGAACTCAAGTTTTTAGAGACGGCCCTAGCGGACTTGCCGGCAAAGCTCACGCAGCCGAGGAAAAGAACATGATGCGTCTGTTGTGGCATATATTCAAGACAGAAGGCGCTCCGGGGCTATGGAAAGGGTGGATCCCCCGCGTTCTTAAAGTCGCACCGGCATGTGCCATCATGATTAGCAGCTACGAGGTTGGGAAGAGGGTATTTCGGGGCGTCAACGAGCGATCCATGAGCGAGCGGGAGGAAGACAACTGAGGCGGTCATTTCATATACACGGGGCAGGGGTTGCCATTTTCAGAGACACCGGAATATTTGCATTTCGTAGGCGTTGACTGGCAAAAAGCGGGTGGTTTGCGGCCAATCTCTCTTCTACGGCTTCTTTAGATTATCTCCGTCGTGAGTTTCTCAGTGAGAATACGAATGACAATCAGTGTACAATATTAGTAGCGTGGACATGGATATATAGACATAATGGGGGTCGAACATGACTTTAAACAGCATTTCATTTTTTTTCCGCCCCAAAAGAATGCACCTGGTGCCTGTTTGGTGCTGTGACGTAGATGCTTTGATCAGTGACAAGGCGAGTGAGCTCTCCGTGGGTCTGCAAATCTTTACCCACCAACGGCGCTGCAATGGCTACTGACGACCAGACACTTGAAACCACATCGCAAGGCCACCCGTGAAGCACATAACGGCGTATCGGATGCGCTTCTGATTCTAAACTAGGCATCTGTGCCTGGTTTATACTTGCAAATACCCACGCATATACTGTTCCTTGGTCTCCCGAACCCAGGTGCGCGAACCCCGCTGCTCAACCCTCATGTCGCAAAATTTCACAACCCACCCACCATGTACACGCTCACCAACATCGCGACGCACCGCTTCTCCGGCCCCGAGGAAACATACGTCCTCGACGTGGACCGCACAGAAGCGGGCCTCGTCACAATCTCCTCGGACCAGCACCTCTCGCTGCTGCGCCCGGCACGACTCCCCGACGGCCCCGTGGCCTCGTGGAAGACGCAGCACGGCAACCTGACCAGCCTGCGCGTATTCGACGGGAGCAGCTCCCTGGTGTGCACGGCAGGCGAGGACGGGACGGTGGCCGTGTGGGATCTCAGACTGCGCGGGGACCAAGCCCGCGCGGCGCAGTTCAACGGTAAGGCACCAGACGCCCGAAATCTAAGGAAGGTAGCTACTTAGCTGACCACGTCGACGAAAAAAGCCGCGCCGTCGCCCATCCTGTCCGTGGCCTGCTCGCCGTCGACGCAGACCATCGCCGTGGGCACCGAGCTGCGCGACCACACGGCGAGCATCTTCGCCTGGGACGTGAGGGCCGGCGCCCGCCCGCGCGCGCACTACCAGGAGGTGCACAGCGACGACGTGACGCAGCTGGCGTTCCGGCCGGGCCAGCCGGCCTTCCTGCTGAGCGGCTCGACGGACGGCCTGGTCAACGTGTACGACACGCGCGTCGCGGACGAGGACGACGTCACGCTGCAGACGTTCAACCACGGCGCGTCCATCCACCGCGCTGGGTTCCTCACGGGGACCGAGGTCGTGGCGCTTTCGCACGACGAGCAGTTCGCGCTGTATGACGTGGACGAGGGGGCCGAGGGGGGCGACGCCGCGCAGAACTGGGGCGACTTGAGGAGCGTGCTGGGGTGCCAGTACGTCGCGGACGTGATGGGCAAGACGGACGGTAGCGGTGCGATTATCGGCGCCGGCGCTCAGGAGTAAGTCTTTTTGGTTTTGGTGGGGGGTGGAAGCCGTGTGCTGACTTTTGGATTAGGAGGCAGAGCTTCGAACTTGTGTTCCTGGCGAGGAATCAGGGCCACGGGCCGAAGTGGGTGTTTGACAGGGAGAACAGCGTGGGACTGCCCGGGGCGCATGGGGAGGATATCGTGCGCGCGTTTTGCTTCTTTGACGATGCGCAGGTTGTGTTTACGGCGGGCGAGGATGGCAACGTCAAGGCTTGGAGGGGCAGTTAGGGACCGGCTGGGGTGGGTGATGATGGTGTGCTCATGATATCCCCGGCGTTGAGTCTTTGGTGGCCCTTGACTTGCAATGTTTTCTCTTGGGGGTGTGTGAACGCTACGTGCTGGCAGGTACGTGGTTTGTGCACCGCGGCATGTTGATGTATATACAGGTACCGATGGCATGGAGCTCCGTCTAGGGGAGCCAACGACATGCCCGCAGCCAAGACAATTTGAACTCGCCATGATTCCATGCGAGGCTCGGAACTGCTTTTATGCACCATCTTGCGCCGGCTAGCTGAAGCGTACGTGGACGACTTGTCGAGGTGGTCGACGTAGCCTCCTCATCCAAACTTGTCATGTCGATTCTTCACCTTCAAATCCAACAGACGCTCATGATAATCGCCTTCCCTCCTTGCTCTCTTCAGCACCTTCACCTCGTTCTCATCCAGCCTCCTGCCCACGGCCTCCTCCAACTCCCGCCTACTAATCTTCGACAGGGCCTTTTCCTCCTTGGACGCCTTGAGCTTAGGCTTAAACCGGGCCTGCATACGTATGCGCATGGTCGTATTGAATGTGATTTTGTCCTCGTCGCCGCGTATTTCTGCAGGAGAAGTCGACTTGGACGACGTGCTGGGCTTGATGGTGACGAACGTCTCGCGGAGGGTTTGCAGCTGAAAAGTGCTGGGGGTGTCGGCCGTGGCGATGACGTTGAAGCACTCGAGGGGAGAAATGGCTTCCGACGTGGCGGATAGGAAGCCTATTTTGTCACAGGCCAGGTATCTGATGTTTTTCCATGTTAGCAGCAGCGTCAGGCGAGTTGCGTAGTTCGAGATTGCAGGTAGCGTACCGTCCGTGATGGCCCTTGAAGCGAAAGTTATCCGTGCCGGATACCTTGTTCGCAACCCACACCATGCGCACATCATGGGGCTCCGCGCTCGTGGGGTTTCCGTCGACGATATTCTCAATCGGCATCGCAAACACCTTGCCGTTGGGGTCGCACGCCAGCGCAGACGGCTTCTCGGTGGGCAACACAATCATGACGGGCCCAACCACGTCCGTCGCAACATCCGCAGAAACCCAGCTGTCATCGTCGACGGCGGCGGCGTCGTCGTCGTTGTTGAGCTTTTGGACCCGCGAAGGGCCGGCCTCGCCATCGTCTCGGTCGGCATCAGCAGCGCGCTTCCGCTTCTTGGGCTTCTTGTCGCCCTTGAAGCTCAATGGCTTGACCATTCTGCGGGTTGGGCAGTATGGGAAGGGTCGGTTGGCGTCGGTGAGCAATGAGCGTCTGACGCGCGAGCGGGAGGCGGCGAGCTCCATCCCACGGTAGGCTACCGGACCTCAAAAGGGCATTTGATTATGTAAGCGGGCTTTCTCTGCCCCTCCCCCGCAGGTGACCATTGACGAGGGCCTGTTAGGTCAGCGGCCATCTTCAGCTGTAGAGGCCGAGTTGAGAGCTGGGGTCGCAAGTTTAAATGTACTTTGCGTCCGCGGATCCCTTTGATGCTGGCAGATCCGAATTCTGCGTCATTTCCTTCGAGAGTTTAGAATATCATTTGATGCACAGGCCAGAATGGTAGCGCAAGCACAGCCCGTAACAGTGTCCCTGAAGGACCTAACTGACGGTACGGCTCTCGCGTAGTGAAGCCGCATGACGGCACAGGCCACGGCAAACTTACACGCAACAGGCAACGTCTCTTTCGAAACCCTACAGCAAGCCTTTGGACCTGATTCCCTAGGAATCTTAGTCGTCAAAGATGTGCCCCAAGAATTTCCGCAGCTGCGCCGCATGGCGCTCTCTTATGCCTCGTACCTGGGGAATCTCCCTGCCGAAGAACTAGGTACGGCCAAACTACCACAGCCGCTTACACTCCGTTCCTCCACTCTACATATGTACTTAAGTACTTATAAAAAACCAGCGCTGACCCGGCTGTAGAAAAACTGGAAAACGTCAAGGCCAAATACTTGACAGGCTGGTCGCTGGGCAAAGAAACCCTCAAAAACGGGCAGGCAGACACCTTCAAGGGCTCGTACTACGCCAACTGCGCATTCTACGTCGACCCAGCCCTCGAGTGCGCCAGGCCCACGCCCGAGTTCTCGCCCGACACGTTCCCGGAGTACTTGTCCCCCAATACGTGGCCACCGGAGAATGTGCTACCCGGTTTTAAACCCGCCGTCACGGAGCTGTGCAGGCTCATCATCGACGTTGCCGTGCTGGTGGCACGAGCGTGTGATCGCTTCGCGGAGAGGGAGATCCAGGGATACCCAAAGGGCTACCTGGAGCACGTGGTGAGCACGTCCAACACCACCAAGGCGAGATTGCTGCACTACTTCCCGCAGGATGTGCACAGCAACGATGGGATAAGCGAGGACGACTGGTGCGCTACGCACCTCGACCACGGGTGTCTTACGGGCTTGACGTCGGCCATGTTTATCGACGAGCAGAAAGTTAGTCCCGCTGTGCCGGGGGACGTTGGGTTGACTGGTGCGTCTTTGCCGCCGCTGGAGGAACTTCCGGCGTCGCCTGATTCTTCGGCGGGGCTGTACATCTTGTCTCGCGCGGGGGAGACGTACCAGGTGAAGATTCCGAGGGATTGTATAGCTTTCCAGACGGGCGAGACGCTGGAGCGCATTACGGCGGGCAGGTTCAAGGCTGTGCCGCATTATGTCAGGGGCGTGAGGGCGGCGGTGAGTGGTGGTGCTATTGCGAGGAATACGCTGGCTGTGTTTACGCAGCCCAACTTGGGTGATGAGGTGGATCTCGAGTCACATTTGACGTTTGGCGAGTTTGCGAGGGGCGTGGTGGCCAAAAATACCGTATCATGATGCGCAATACATACCTGGATCTATAATGCATATACCAATGACTTTTTGTCATTCACGGAGCTGACCTGTTAAAATTACAAGGACAGATTCGTTGTAAAGGAGTGTATATTGTCCAAAGACGGTTCTAGCTATCCCCAAGCTATTTGTAAAATGCCATTGGCAAGATCGTCAAAATTTAGCATGGCCATGATGGCCACAAAGAAAGTAAGTCAACCGACCCCTTGATTTTCAAGTGGCATTCTCACCAATGCGCACTTGTTGTGGCGTTATTCAACGCTCTCTCAACGCTCTCTTAGTAACTCCTATTCGTGGACACTTAAGCCCAGGCGCCAACCAGACTCATGCCAAAGGCACCAAAGAAGACCAGCAGGCAGGCGATTATGCGATTCTTCCCTCGGAGGTGACGCCAGCTCTCGTCGCTCAGAAAATCTTCAGAAAGGAGCTCGACAAGGGATGCAAACGTAAGCAGACCGGCAGAAATGGCATTCATGACTCCAACGAGGATGAGACCGACTTCGGAATCGGGGCTGTAGAGCATATGCGTAGCAAGGCCAATGGCCTGACCGATCGGTGTCCTATTGTCATTTGTTAAATATATTACGAAGGAGTAATGTGGTGGTGTACGTACGTGAAACCGTATGCCAATGCCATGAGCCACGGCTGCCATGTCTTGTCACCCCATTCAATAACAGAGATTCTTGAGCCAAGTGCCAGACCTTCAAAGGTTTCTAATACAGCATTAGTATATTTTTACAAGGCATGCGCTGGTGTTCAACTTACGATGAAAAACGATGGCAATCAACAAGACGATGAAGTCGTTCCCGATACTGACACTCAAAGCCATGCCAATAAAAACACTGTGGAATAGAATGCCCATTTCGAGTAGGATACACTGCAATCGGTCTTTCCTACGCTTCTGCTCCGGTGTCAAGACGGTCTGTTCGCCTTCGCCCTGTTCCGTGGCATCGTGACAATCGTTGGACACTGATTTGGCAATTGCAGAATCAGCAGCAGGCCCCTTGGCCGAAATCTCTTCGGACATGGCAGCTTGATTCAGCTGAGAGAGACCCTGCGCCACGCTGCTAGATCGGCCACGAAGAGGTCCCATATCACGGATTGGGTGGCCATCCGAATCAGTAGTCTCGAGTTCTTCCTGCTCTTTGGCCCGCGGTTTGGCAACAATATCGGCGGGCGGGACGTGTCTGGACGGATGAAACACCATTTCAATAATGGTGACGAGGAAAATTGCAGCAAGAGCAATAGCCCCGGGCATTGCATTATAGTCTTCGGTCCAGAAGGTCCCAAGGCAAGGATTCCCGAGGGACACAAAGGCCGTGGGAAGCAAATGCACAAAGGCGGTTGCAATCAAAACTCCGGTTCCGAAGTGGCGCACAGCAAAGAAGAAACGGCGTGGAATTCGCAAACCGGGAAACTTGGCAGCCATAATGGGAAATGCGCACCCCAATGTCGAGACGAACCAGATGATGAAGAGTGCCGCGACATGAAGCCCGGTATTGTACTGGTCCTTGTCAACGCCACCTGATGCGCAAGAAGATCGCTTCTTGAGGCCATGAAGTTCCTGGCGGAATGAAGGCTCCGGCATTTCAAAAGCATCGGCAAGGGAAGACGAATTGGTTGCAGTCGATTCGATATTGGACAGAAGCTTCTCATTTCCGGCCCAGTAAGTCGACATGCGCAAACTAGAAATCATATAAGAGAAGAAGAGAACGGATAAAATCCAGGTCAACCAGCTCCAAAGGCGGTCCAGGCACCACGCGGAGTGTACCCAGACGAGGCGATTCTGGCCATTGAAGCCAGCGACCGCCTTAAAACGCAAGAACGAACCTAAGTAGGCAAGTCGAATCAGTACTGGGAGAGGAGCACCAAGAGGCGGTTCGATACATACCACCAACCCATCGTCTTGCGTCCGGCACCCGCGCCAGAAGACGTGGCTCCCCTTCGCGGCGCAACTTGTCGGTCAATGGGGTTTCGCCTAGCATTCCACCGGTCCCTCCCCCAGACGCATCGTCTTGGCTGGCTGCAACATACTCGCGCAGATTCGAGATGCCATTCAGATCCTGGCGAGTAGTTTGGTTCGCTGCAAGAGCAGGCGGGCTCTGATTGTAGGTGAGGTGGCGAAAGCTGCCCTCGTCAGCTCTGTTGAGACAGATCATATTGGGCAAGCACCTGGACGTCCGTTTCACAGTTGTCTTGGGGGTCGAGATTGATCTTGTGGGATATAAAAAAGAGGAGGATCAAGGGAAAAGCCAAAGGCAATGGCCGAACCTCAATGGCCATGCCAAGACTCGTTTTGGACCCCACAGCGTCCGTGAAGACCCGAATTGCGAATCGCAAGCGACATGGCGGCTTGGAGGCGGAGTGGGGGGCTGATGGCAAAGGCGCAGCGCCTCAAGTGCTTGAACATAAGCTTGTTGCCAGGCTAATTGGCCTGCGATCTATGACAGCTGCAAGGGGTGGTATGTTGTATGGAGAATTGATTCAACGAGGCATAGCGCCAGCCGCACGCCTTTGACTTGTGTCAAATCACCCAAGTTGAAGACGGGAAGCTGGAGACGGGAGATGGTCGAGGTCTGGTGGTTGTGGTAAGCTTATTTACGGTACATATGTAGGTACAGTAAGCTGGTGCTAAAAGTCTGCGCCCCCCTTTGAATGACTGCTTGTGGTAAAAGTAACTAATCGGCGCCGCTGAAGCTACAAGCTGAAGCCCGTGGGCTGGCCACATGCACAGACCAGGTAATAGTCAGGAGTCACACCGCGCACCTAACAGAGGGAACAGAGACGGCGTGACAGCTGACGACTTGCTACTCCATAGGTACGAGACGAACTGACTAGCAAGTGCCGTACGCTATTCGGTATCTACGTACTCCGTCTGGTACAAAATAGCAAGCGCTTATGATCGCGGCCTGCCACGATTTCATATACATGGCGGTGGGGAGACGGTCGGAGTCCAGCCATATTACACCACCTCACAGGATAAACAGGGGTGGCCGGGGGCGGTGGTCCAGCAGCAACCAGGGGCGTCACAGGGGCAGCCATGGACAGGAGGTCTGGTTTCAAGTACATACATGTCAAGTAGTTTCTGGTCCCAATTTTTATACAACAATGACCCACGTCGCAAGGCGTCACTACTTGCTACCCGAGCCGAGCATATGTTCTACCCGACCCGATCGTAAGTTTGTTCGGTTGGCCGGCCAAGGAGGAGGATCCACATGATGGGACGAAATCCCTACGAGATTCGTGTTATAGGCCATATCTGTGGTCCGTGGTGGCGAGAGAGTTATTAATCCTACATTGACACTTTCTATCCAAGATATTGCTGCTATTCTCATGTTAATAACAAGTGTCTCGAGAGTTTCAACACTCATAAAGCATAGCGACAAGTATCAGCATCAGAGTCTACACAACCTGCAGCGTCATCAACGCAGAGGGCAAACATGAAGGGCAAGGTATTATTTCGTTAAAATTGGGGGGGTTATCGACTTGACTCTTTCTGAGAGCAGCAGAGAACTTGACCAGACTCATAATAATCCAAATGTCGCATTGAGGTCGTTGTTGGAGGATTGTCTCAGGATCCAGGTTTAAGCTTCGGTGAACGCCGTGACTCGGCATGGAGTCAATGGCAGAGCACTATCGGGAGCTTGGCTACGAGCTCTGCTTTCGGAAGCTATTAATACCTCACGAGCTATACCTACAAGACTAGCCGTATTCACACACTTTCTCAAGTTATAGATGGCGATCTTTCAAGGCATAATTATAATTGCCCGCGGCTCCCGTGTGGGATGTGGCTGTTCAGCTCCTAATGTACAGCTCCCTGGCTTCCCTTAGATAAGTCCCTACACAACGTTTCGAGTTTGTTCTTCCTCAGAACTTGATGCGAATACGCGATTTGCGCGTAGAAAATATTCATGGCGAACACCTGGTAAGCTACCAAGCTACGTGACTGCGCGTAGAGTGTGTGTCAGATGGTACAAAGCAACTGCTCTAACGTTTTAAGATGCTAAAAAGGGAATTCAAGTAGGCATTCACATTTCTTTACTTCGGCAATTGCGCGGCAATTGTCATGCATGTACCCTTGAGAGAACACGTACGTAATATGGCAGCATGCTCAAACCCTAAACCATGCTCGTCATTGAATCTTGCGCTTGCTTTTGAGTGGCATGGAAGTTTTTTTGTAACAGGGTGCGATATTGGTATGCTTATCTACCACCATCTACTGGAATCGTGAATAGATGACGTGTATTACCATGACGTGTATTACCACATTAGGGAGGTGATATCCGGAGCCTGGCGTCCGTAACAACTCTATTTAGTGCTCCTAGTCATCGTTGAACGCCACTTTATGCACGCAGCTTCATTTAGTCGATTATCGACTGTGCAGTGTAACTTTAGCAGCCTTTATTATGTGATGTGATTGACGCGTCTATCATCATGCAAGGTGATATGAGGTGACTGAGGTCCGTGATCGTGTCCTACTCCCACCCAGACCGACCAGCTCCCACGGGGCTTAATACATATGCTAATCCTGAGCTGTTTTAAGATGGGATATCCATGTTAGAGATTTGAAAACCGGTTTTTCTTGACTCAGGAGGACATCCTTCGGCAAAAAAAAAAAAAACTTGGACCACGGACCAAGACAAGGAATTAGCCGCTACGATGTTAGTCGGAGAAGCTATAAGAAGCTGGCAGAAGCTCACTCAATAAACTTGCTCCTCACCAATCGATTCTTCCTCAAACTAACAGACTTACATACTTCTTATTATACCATGGCTGTTTATAAACACCTCATCGCTCTACTAGCGTTGTTCTCAATAATAACGACTGCTCTTTGCAGCGAACAATGAGATTCCAACTCACCTAGAAAATTAAGACAACAGAAACAGTCACGAGTACAACTTCGAGAAAAGGACGTAAGTCAGCATTCCATTTTATCTGTTAAACAAAATAAACAAACAGCTAATTAGAACAGCGGATGGACTTAATATGATACAACGTTTACAGACTCTCATGGTCGATGCGTGGAATAAGGGTGTCCTTATATTCTTCGCAGCGGGAAATAGCGGACTAGAAGTATCCAAGGACTTGCTTCCCTATCCAATGGCTATTTCCAGTCCTCACATAACCGTCGGTTCATTGTCAGAGAATTGGGACAAGGCGCATGACTCTAATTTTGGTCCTCTCGTCGATATATATGCTCCTGGTGAAAACATTACCGTCCTCAATGGAAGGAGCGGCGTTACAGCCAGAGATGGCACTTCTTTCGCATCACCTCTCGTCGCCGGCATGGCGCTAACCTTGTTAGCAAAGATGGATCCCTTACCCAAGGCTGAAGATACAGCTAGGATTCTGGCTAAGCAAATTCTTGATCTTGCTACCGAACATAGAGTTGGGACTATCCCTGGAGCTGGACCCGATGAATTCCAGCGTGTTGCCTTTAATGGAGGGATGGATCCCCGATAAAATGACATTTGGAGCCGAGCCATGACGCACATATACCACGCTGATTCTTGAACCCATCACGCGGGATAGATTACCAAATAGGACCAGCAAGACACTCAGGACAAGCAAATGACGGGACAAGTGCACGTTGTCTATGAGGAGGACATTTATTCGGGAAAAGCCCAGGGTATCGAGTATGGAGTGTGCTGCTATTAGGCTAGGGACGGGCTGATTTCGAGTTTTGGTCAGTGAATTCAGAAGCTTGGGTGTTGATACGACGCACATGGCAAAGGTCGAGTTGAGATAGCTTAGGATAGCGCGTGTGATATGCTCAATGATATTACCACTAAGTATTCTCGAAAGATCTACAGTCACTCAGGGTTTATAATTGCGGGTACAGTATAATTATGCTGGTTAAGTTACTGTTGGAAGCGGAAGGCTTCTATTCGAGTGATAATTATCACGGGATTTGGGGTACTTGTAACTGGTTGATTGATGCATGTTTTTTTCTCATCTAGCTATGGATAACGCGCGCCTGAATTGGTGTTGAGGCCTCCTCACGCGAGGTTTGTTTCAGCTACTATTTGGGGCTATTCGCAGGCTGCTGGCTCCGCCGCCCAAGACGGCGGTGGAAGCAACAGTCACGATCGACAAGGGAATCAATGACTCGCTGCATAAAGTGAGATCGTCGGCGTTATCGAGCATGAGCAATCAGTTCAATAGACTCTCGATCGTATCTCGCACTGCTAACAGTCTATCTGCACTGCGAAGATCTACCTTGATGTCAAGTTTTCGGGCAATTGTATAATAGTAATGCGTAAAGGTTCATTTATTATCGGCGTATACCCAAAAGACGACCCTAGGTTTGGGAATCGTAGCGCAAGCCCAGCCGTCCAGAGACAGCAGCGCAATCAAGGTACGTCGCTGTTATCGCTCCAGATTAGCGACTGGGGTGCAGATTTGGTATATGTCAGGTTGAACTCCCACCTACTATATGTAATGTAAAGTAGTATCTCTCAAAACCCCTTTGGACGGTGACCGACATCAATCCCAGCCCCGGCACGATGCAGTTTAGGAGTGTGAAGAAGGCAGTCGCGCGGATAATATAATAAAAATAACCGATGCCAAACTTCCCAGCAGTCTATAATACGAGTTATCTGACAACATACCGGCACCCCTATAGCATTCGCACGGAAAAAGTTCAACCAGCCTCAGTCAGTTGATCCCTTTACTCGTGCTGAATCCACATATCGCCGCGGCACTACTTCGTAGACAGTTGAGACAAATGCTACTATATTTTTATAGCTTCCACACGTTTTGCAGACTTTAGGCCGGGGGTTGGCGTTTCCTTGGCCGTTGCACCTCACAAGAAGCGAGAGAGAAGATGGCCTATATCGTGCCAAAACACAATCCGGCCTTGCCGCCGCGCAGTCCAAACTTGCATAACCATACTCTTGATGCGGTCGCAAAAGACTGCAGAATGTCTTCCGATGGCCGACAGACTTCGGAGCCGTTGTTCCCTGGCAGAATCGTCTTCGACCTCCAAACAGGCCACTATCAGTGGCAAGTCGACGCATAACGGAGACTTTCCCGTGACATGAACAGTCAAGTCAATCTGACTCAATATCGTACAAGCCAGGGCGGAGGCTGTGCCGTCCTCCTTTCCAAACCGATGTTGGAGACGGTGGATAATAAGCAGGGCAGCCGTCTGCATGATTTGATGTTGGCAAAGCATATGCGCGACCTCCAAGGCAGTGAACTTGGTGAAGATTTTTGTCTGAAGTTGCGGTTTCCAGTCCCGAATCTCCAGCCGCACACCTTCCAGTTTAGTCCGCAAATCCGGTAGCCCTTTTGCCTTGCATTGTCCCTGTCTGCTCCTGTTTTGCATATCAACATTTATCGCGGCGAGATCATATAAATGGAGCAAAAAGCCAGTACATAGACCCACGCAGCCATCAATTTGACTCGATGCTTCGGCGTGATGGAGCTTTAGAGTCGGCAATTTCGTCATCATGAGACATTCTGCAGTCTCGGTGAGAACAATACTCGTTAAAAATGACAGGTGTGACGTTTCAAAGTGCTTTCCAGCAGCGTAATGCGGTTTCAGAAGACTCAGGGTTTGGCTGCACACTTGAAGAATTTCTCTACCCCCAAGCTGGAAAACAAAGTGTAGTAATTGCCAGCCCAGCATGAGACACGATGTGATGTCGAGATGGTCCTTGATTTGGATCGAGCGAAGGGTGAAGAGTGCCGAGGCGGCCTTCTTGTAGCTTGTATTGACTTGGGCCTGGTCGCCGCAGGACAGGGCGAATGCCAGGTACGCGTCCAAGACAATTCGTCGCGAAGATAACAGGTGGAATACAAGCTTCTGGCGATGCCCATGGTAGAAACTCGGGCCGATTACAAATTGCTCGGTGAAGTCGTCTTGGTGAATCGTCCGATTCAGAAGATCGAGCTCCGGCTGACCAAGACCCTCGATCGTCGATAACAAGGTCTGCCCAATTGAACCTTCCACCATTGTGGGAGCGAGCGTTGTCGTCGTCGTCGTCGTCACTGTTGTTGCCGTATTTTTATTTCTTTTGGCTGACATGTCGCTCTTCTGTGTACCAAGCCTGGTTCGCTTCATTGATGAGGAGAGATAGCCTCCTGGCGGGCGACCGACTCTCTTGATGGGCCTTTTCGACCGGCAGGCGTGGCCGACGCGAGCGCATCGTTCGCATGTGAGGGAGCCGGGAGCCCAGATGCAGCGCTCCTTGCTGGTGTAGCATCGATCGCAAGATCGCGGCACGAGCGACACGTGGATCATTATAAGCACGCGGAAGTTTCGCAGAGGGTTTTGTGATGGAAAGGCATGGACAAGGAATAATGTCACGATCCTAGATGTAAAAGTAAAAAAAGGGTTGCCACAACGGCATCACCGGCGAAGATTCGCCATGCATCCACCTTGGACCTATGTATTACGCATATGAAACCTGAATAGCTTATACAAAGCCCCTGCTAGGATGGTTAGACCGGACACTTCAATTTCGGGATGTTCCTTGACCCACTGGTACCAGGCTTCTTTTCAAGGTTGACGACTAACAGCTCTCAATCCCCACAACCTCCACATGTTTCCAGGGCTCGGGGTAGTAACCCAATTCAGAGTCTTTGGTAGTAGAGGCCCTTGGTTTCCCTCAAGGCCTCAGGGACCAAAGACGTCTATTCATTATTTATACAAGTCGTCGTTGATGAGACTTATGAGAGTCTCTGCCCCAGGTCACGTGATCTTGGCCCTCGACTATATGTGTGACACATTGACCGGCCGGATTCTCCTGAAATGTCGCAGTATGGCCTACTAGCGGCCGGAGGGTTACTGGCGGCCGGAGGGTTCTTGGCGGCCGGAAGGTTCTTGGCCTGCTAGCAGCCGGAGGTTACTAGCCGAGATGACCTGCTTTCCCGGAAGCCCAACTGAACCAACCCCGGACAACACAGGCCGGTGGACTTGTTAGTTTTCGAGTATAAGAAGACGGGAGGAGCAGGTTTTAAATAAAAGTCTCACGATTTGAGTACATCCAGGGAGTGACTGTGCTAGCCGGCTCGTTATATTCTCTTTACAACATTCTTTACAAACACCCACCAAGCGTTTACCACGATAATGAGGATTGGCAACTGGGTTTTACATGCTGCCATCATTGGCCAAGCTACTTGTTTACAAGGCTCCAACTTCAACATTACGCCTGAATTTGCCGTGCAAAATGGCTGCGACGAGAAATGCCAAGCAACGCTGGCTAAAGTCAATGCGATAGATCTGGGACTCTTCGGCCAGAACTTTGACTTTGACTGGTTCGCAACGGCAAGCAATTTTTCTGGATCCAAGCCCGGAGACGTGCTCAAGATGCAGGCCATGGACCCCAAGATGCTGGGTGAACAGGTCAAACAAGGCACCACGGTATACCGCATACAGTACACGTCTGTGGATCTCGACAATAGTACCGTGCCTGCCACGGGTTTCATCGCACTGCCATTTGCGCCGGCATCGCTCAAGTCCAAGGCGTCAAACTCATCCTCGTCCTATCAGTTTCCCCTCGTCGCCTATGCTCACGGCACGAGCGGCGTCTACCCAGGGTGCGCTCCATCCAACGGCCCGGCGCTATACGACTACGATAGCTGGCAGCTACTTCTTCAGAGAGGGTACGCCGTCGTGGCCACGGATTACGCCGGTCTGGGGAACAACCAGACGGAGCACAAGTACTGCAGTTTCCCCGTGCAGGCCAACGATATTGTCTATTCCGTAGTGGCAGCAAGGAAAGCCATGGGCAACATCTTCACCCAGGAGTGGATGGCGGTTGGCCACTCCGAGGGTGGTGGCGCGGTGTGGAAGTTGGCAGAAAGTCGTTTTGTCAAGGACGACTCCAAGTACCTCGGGACTGTTTCTCTGGCCCCGGCCCTCAAGATTGCAGACATGCTTCGAAACCATACCGACTTCATCCTCAAATCCGGCTATCTCACACTCGTGGCCAAGGCGCTTCAGCGCTTCTCCCCCTCGTACAACTTCACCATGCTGGGCCAAGTTCAGCGGCAGCGGATGGCCATTGCCGATGCCTCGCAGCCCTGTTTGATCGCACAGGGGGCCATCAGCGTAGGCTTGACGCGGGAGCAGGTCCTTGATGAGAAGGGCTTCGAGACGGATTTGCAGCTGCTGCAGAGTTGGCAGGACAAGATGGCGCCGGCGTCGGGAGGACGCACCTCGGCTCCTCTCTTGCTGGTGCAGGGACTCAACGACACCGCCGTCGTTGCGCAGGTGGCCCATGAGTCATGGCAGCAGGCCTGCCAGGACCAAAGCGAAGTTCATCTGAGAGAGTACACAGAGCTGGATCACTCGGGCGTGATTGTTGCTGCAGCATCAGAGTGGTTGGCTTGGGTGGATGCCCGGTTCAACGGCGAGGCGACGTCTGGAAATTGCACGGGCCTGCAGAGGGTGCCGTTTGATGCAGCTCATGTAATTGCTCCTCCTGAAAAGCCTGAGGACGCCGATGCATAGGTTAAAGTAGATGCATCTATACAAACCACATAGCTTAGCAGTAGTGTCCAGTCTTGTGCGTGTGTCTTGTTCAACGTCACAGCGGAACATGGATGAAAAGAGTGCGTTGATTCTGTAAGCTAGAGATGCCCCCAAGGCACGCTATTGGCGCAGGCTGGACCCTGCACGTGATGCTGTTTCATGTTCAACCTGAAATCTCTCGAAACGGGGCCTGCCCGTTAATGGCCAACCCTTTTTTCTAAACCTCCCTAGAAACCCTCGATTTGCGGGGCCCTCTGCCGCTCGAACTTGAAGCCCTTTGGAGCCTATTTCCGAAGCTTTCAAAATGCCCGAAATTAACGTAGCAACAAAAGCTGCTATGCTAGCCCTCTACGCCGAATGCGACTATTCAGCATTACGACTAACCCAATTATTTGATGTCTCTCAGACGTCTGTTCGACGCATCATCAAGGAAGCAAGAGAACGAGGCTTCAACCCGACCCGTCGGCCTTTGAAGATTGAAGACAAATACCTAGAACCAAAGCCCCGAACCGGCGGCACTAAGAAAAACCCGGCAACCTATCCATAAGGCTACCACCGATAGATGCGGAAGGGGGGAGTCAACTCCAGATATAGCCGGTGACCTTTGCGGCCAGGGTATCCCAATCTCCGCCTCGACGGTATCGGTATCGCGGACCTTGAGGTCTTTAGAATATCGGAAAACTAAGCCAACCCGGAAACATGGATTAACGAACTCTATGAAAGCGACACGTCTTAAATGGTGTATTGACCATCGTTATGGGACCTTGGAAACACGTCCTTCGCCCCTTTCAGGACTCTAGATACCTTTGGACAAGACGAAGTACAGCCACGGATGATAATACATCGGCTCATCTACGGGATCAATGATCATTGGGAGATATTTTGCCCTCCATTCGTCTTGGGTAGCTTCGTCGAACTTTTCAGAATGTACTGTCGGCCATCGCGCTTTGCAATACTCCCAGTAAAAGGGATACCACCCCGACTGAGCCCAGTCAATAATCGCTGCTACTTTTGGATTCAGACCCGGCGATAACAGGATATTGACTGCGAGGAGATCATCATGTGTAAACACAACGGGTACCCCGCCGCGAATGTCAATCCCACAGCCATGGTGAAAGCGTTGGGTTGCATCTGCTCCTTGGAATGGTCCCGCTAGGTCTGAATGATCAGAAAGAAATATTTCGTTTAGCGGCTGCTTGTGTAGGCCTCCTATGAATGTAGATTAAAGTCTCGCGCTAGTTTTTCTTGGACATCTATGTTTTGATGGTACTTGCTTACCGATATAGGGGCCATCCTCGTCGTGCTTCAATCCTCTCCATGCTTGTACCATTTCCCTGAGTTCCTGGCAGACGGTTATTCTTTCGCTCTCTTCTAGATCTTTCCATCGGTTTTGAAGGGTGTCGCCCTCAATAAGGGACATGTAAATAAATGTCTGTCGCTTGTCTTCAATCCATCCAAACACTTCAGGAACGGGTACTTTGCCGAGTAACTGTTCGCGCACCCAGACTTGGGTTAACGCTTCATTCACTTTTACATCGGCGCCGTACTTGACCAGTAGTTGCAGAGACGGGATCCTGACAGGCGGTGCGCGGTAGAAATTTGCGTCCCACAAATCGTCCGACTCCGCGTTCATGCCCCGGATTTCGTCTGGAGATGGCAGTGCTGGTGCGCGTCGTTCCTTGAAAAAGCTAGATTCGGGGAAGATCTTCATTGGTATGAGGGGCGCGGTGTTGTTAGAAGGCGTTCTTGGCGAAGTAATCATGTTTTCATCATCCGAATGCATTTTTTGTGATGGGGGGATTACCAAGCTCATCAATGGAAAATACTTTGATAAGAGACTGACATAATAAAGAGGCTCCCGGGCTTTGAAGATGCACAAAATAGAAATCAGCCCATGTGGTCATTGGCGATGTTCTATTGCCTCAATCAGTCAAGTTGAAGATCCAAATGTTGCAAGTTCATTTTGGCCAGGTGGACTCAAATATCCCACGTGATACAGATGGCGATTCAAAAAGGCGAGGGCGTTTGTTTGCCGAACAAAAAAGGTGACTCCTACTGACATCATTTCTGTTCATATGGCGAAAACTTGTGGAATCGCCAATCATTCGTCTCAACAAGGTGTCTTTTTTATGACTGACCGGGTATTAGATGAATTTATGCCTTCACAAGCGACACCCGATCCCGCTATACCCGTCTTTTCCGTCGACCCTCGGCACCGCTGCAAAGCGCCAGCATGGACTAATCGGAATCGGCCAATTGGCATTACCGTCTGACATGGTGGCTTACAGCCAATGGAGAGCATTCATGGCGGGAGTAACATCTTTCAAGACGGCCCAAAGGCTTTTTGTCTTGAATGAGGATACCATGTTCGATTACCACGCCCTCTCACGCCGTGGTCTGGATCATCGTGTCCGGGGGTTATAACCGTGCCAGTTCATGGTCCCCTAGTAAATGACTTGTTACAGATGTTGATAGTC